TTGGCTGACAGTGAAGCATCAAAGTGGAAAAGTCCTGGACTCATAGGGAAAAAAAGGAACTAGAAGTCATGTGAGATGACGGAACTGGAGATAAGTGAGTCATCAGCTCAAGGGAGATCATTAACATTCCTGAAAAAATAAATATGAGCCCTGGCTGGCATGGCTCAGTGGATTGGGTGCTGGCCTGTGGACCAAAATGTTGCCAGTTGGATTCCTGGTCGGGGCACATGCCTGGGTGACTAGCCAGGTCCCCAGGTGGGAGCGTGCAAGAGGCAGTCGATCAATGTTTCTCTGACATTTCTCTCCCTCTCTTTCTCCCTTCTCCTCTGCTCCCCTAAAAATAAATAAATAAACATGAAAAAAACTTAAAAAAGAAAAAAAATATGAAAGCTTTCATGATGCATTGGCAGAAGAGTGTTTTTTGGTTTTATAGCTAAAGAAACAAAAGCCAAGAGATGTTAATGAAATGACCTCACCTCTTTTTGTAGAAGTAGATGGAATGTAATCTAGCCATATAGTTTAATAATTAATGTTTTCATGAAAAAAAATAAATGTCTCTCATAACAATTGAAGACAGAATGCAGGGCCCTTGACCTCTGAAATATTCCTTTCCATGTTCACTCCGGCAGTTTTGTACTCTGTCGATTTAGCTAAGCTGGAACTATATTTCCCAGAATTCCCTTCCCTGTATAGTCCCGGGTTAGGGTTGTCAGGAAGAAAAATTTGCATGAAACTTGGAAGGCCCAAATGCCATCTCAGCCTTACACTTGGTGGGATTGGTACAGGGCCCTAGACATCACTGCAGCGTGTGCACATTGTTGTGATCGCGTGGTTCTCCTTGCTGGTGTAGGGGAATAGCTAGTACAACCAGATCTCCTCCAGCTCCTCCAACTACTACGCCAGCCAAACTGTCAGGGCTCTGTTGGAGAGGGACACTGGTTTTTCTACCGGTGGCCCGCATCATTGGAGTTGGTGCGGTGAGAGACAGATGTGGGCTCCAGCGTCTTCTCACGGCTCTGCTTTGTCCTGGCAATGTCTGCTCTCTTCGCTTTCCTGCTGGGAGTCCAGCCTTTCCTCCTGCCTGCCCGGCCGATCTGCAGAGGCTTGAGGCTGCAGGTGGACGCGGAGGCAGCCGGCTTCCACAGACACCTTCACCCGCTGCCCTTCGTGGCCCTGCTTACTGTCTGTCTCCTGTCCCTCTAATCGCCCCTTCGAGACCTTTGCATTCTCAGCAACTCCCACAGCTGCCTTAGGTCTAATTCCTATAAGAAATTCCTCATCCCATCTCACTCACAGTGCTTCTGCTTTCCTGACAGAATTGCTCACGCTGTCTTATTATCCAGGCCTTTCTACACCCAGCCAGCCTCCCTTTAATTGACGGCACTTTGTACATTTCACTTGTTCTCAAGGTACTATTATCTATCAGAAAGGGTGATGAAATTTTAAAATGCATGTTTATATTTTTAAATAGCAAGCACAATAGACTGAGAACCAATATTAAAATTCTAGCTACAATGAGACCTGGGGACACTATCTGCAGAATTTAGGTTCCTGACTCTGGGAGCCTCCACAGCACCCAGAACTACCAAGTTTTAGTTGTTAAATGAGAGACAGAAAGAAAATCTTACTTGGTTTAAGCCACTGTTTTTTTTTTTGTCTTTGATATAGCTGAGTTTGAAGTCTAACCATATACATGTTGAACATTATTTTAACCAAGTTTGCTTATTCAAGTAAATGCACATCAAATACTTTTGTATCCATGTCATTATCCTTCTCTTTTATCCTGCAGCTTAGCTTTATACAAGGACATGCTTATTTACCTAGTAGAGCTTCAAAAAGAAAGACAGTCTCTATTTTGAATATAATGCAGGGTGGGCCACGTAATAGACTCCTGTGATGGACAATGATCCACTATTTTCATTCATTCTTATATTTAACGCTTCCTCATGGGGAAGACTGAACTAAAAATAATAAACCTTTACTATCAAGACCAACACAAGACTGGCTATTCTTGTTTTAGTCTGGTGGTTAACGCTGAATATCAGAAGACAAGAGATATTTTCATTGTTTTGAACAAGTCGCTTAACTTCTCTCAGATTCAGTGCCATCATTTGTAAAACTTGGTGAATACCCTTTTTTCACAGGCTTGTTGTGAGAGTAAAATGAAGTCCTCCCAAATAGGTAAAAACTTTCTAACACAGTACTTGACGTAATAGGTATCAATAAATATTAATTGAATCTAAAGATTAAATTTTATTTTAAAAATTCATATAGAACACTATTCAAGTAACTCTAAAGGGTAAATAAATACCCTCCAATAATATTTTTTTCAAAATCAGATTGCACTTTCTGAAAAAGGGAACTTTTGCTCTAATATAATAATGTATCAAATGACATGTTACTGACTAAAGGTGTGCTAAGTTTTTCAAAGTTACCCAGAAACTAATGAGAGGAGGGTAGTATGAGCGTAGGAAACTCTTACCATGAATAAGTTGGTTCTGGAAGTTACAGATCAACGTCTCTCATATTGTAACATGTGCTGTGTCATATTCTCTGCCAAACTGAAAGTTTCTCTGAATTAAAACAAACAGGGCATTCCTTTCTTTTTGTTAAGCTTTTCTTAGATTCTTAGTTGATTCTTGATATTTCAAATGATTGGATCAATAAAATGGATATAAAAATATTTTTAGTTTTATGATGGATATACAGGAAAAAAGATGTTGGAATTAAAAATCGATGAAACAATAACTACCCTCTGAATTTTATCAAAAGAGTAACCTTATTTGTACTTAATATAAAAAAATTCACAAACAAGGTCAAGTCGTTCCTGGGTACAAGATAGCATTCATGTCTTGCCCTTCTCGTAGAGTTTAAACAGTTTCCGAAAATAAAAATGTAAGATCCTTACTCAGATTTCACTGGTTTTATATGTATTGTGTGAACTTCATGTTTGTGCCCCCCTGTCTGTTCAAACTTTAATCCCCAATGTGATAGCATTTGGAGATGGGATTTGGGGAGGTGACTGGTGGGCCATCAGAGTGAACTTCCCATGAAGGGGTAAGTGCCCTCCTATCTCTTTCCTCCCGCCCTTCTCTCTCTCTTTTTCTTTACCACGTGAGGACACACCAAGAAGGTGGCATCTACAAACCAGGAAGCACTACCTGTCAGCCCCTTGATCTTGGACTTCCCAGCCTCCAGACTGTGAGAAATAAACATTTGTTGTCTAAACCACCTAGTGTTTGGTCATTTGTTAAAGCCAGTAATAACTAAGACAAATTATCTCACAGGTACACACCCAGATCATTAAATCCTGAAATAATGGTAGAAGCCTATTGCCAGGAAAATATTCATTAATGTCATTTGTCATTGTTAAGTCTTTAAAAAGCAGGGTCAGGATTCAGGAACAAATCAGAGATTAGAGGCGTTTCCTCTATCTGGCCCTACACAGTCTCTTATGGGGAAATAGTTCTACTTAAAGTGCCAGAGGAAGGACAAGCTTCTGATCACTGATGTTTTGGACCATGTGGCCAGTCTTGCCATGGCTGATTAAACCTATGACTTGGCACAGCAAAGAGAAGAGTTGTTCAGATTCCCTCTCTCACTCTGGCATTTGAATGAATCAATGTCAAGAGCCTGACGTCAGAAGTGGAAATAGACTGAAAGATGAAGAAGTAGAGCTGGAGGAGAGGCCATATCAGCCATGTGCAAATCCAGTTGTTAATTAACAGATTAAGCAGGCCAGACATGCTGGTTGCTAGCCAGAAAGAAGCAGGCATGGCAGTATATAATCTCTTTGAAGACAAGGACATTATCTGTCTTATTTATTCCTGTTTCCCCAGCACTTAGCATAGTTCTTGGTTATTACTTGAATAAATAATTAATGAGTTAACAGTGGATCACTAACGCAGCTTTAAAATGACTTTCTTTCCAGAAATATCATCCAGTTCCTGGCACCAGAAGCCCACATTTATCCATGAGATTCCTTTTCCTTCAACATAGCCCGTGTCTTCCAATTATTCTCAGCTTCCAACATGTTCCTTTATTTGAACAGTCCGTAATCCTTATTAACAAAGGTCTTAATACCAGCTCTGTGTGTGTGTGTGTGTGTGTGAGAGAGAGAGAGAGAGAGAGAAAGAGAGAGGAGTGAGAGTTGAGGAGAGGATGATAGAGATTAAGAACTTCATTTTTTAGTGAGATGTACAAAAGACCTTTTCCAACTTCTCTACAGAGAGGTTTAGACTTTCAGGGTGAGGCTAAAAGACTAGGGAATTTCAACAAACAAGCTATTCTAGCAAACCCTAGAGAGTTTGCTCCAGAGAAGGCTTTAAACATTGTCATTGGAGTAGACTGGTCACATAAAACAAAACACCCTTGTAGCTATCTCTCTGTAAATTGTTTGGACTCTGTTTAAGAGGAGTAACATGACTCCCATTCTCCTGCTTAATAGAGGAAAGGGCCCTGAGGGGTTACTGTAGTGATAAAATATACTTAAAGAAATAATGTATCCTCCTTCCCAACTCATAATTCTCTTCTTCTTCATTATTACTAGAATGCATCCATTATTGTATCTTTAAGAAAATCTTGATTTTTTTTTTTCTTTTCACCTATGAAGAAACTCAGGAATGGTATGTAAAAAATAATTTATCCCAGGAAACTAGCTCTCATAAGATAATATATTCGCTTGGGTAATAAATATCTTTCAAGGTCTGGTTTATCTCTAATTAGTTAGTGTTAAAATATCCTCATGTGATAGATAATGGCAAACTTACCCTTCGGGTGAACACCGGCCTTGCACATTTCACAAAGCAGGTATAAGCCAAGCATACTTTCTATATTAGTAGAAACATCAGGTGGCCAATATTATCCCTGTCCTGCTTCTAGTAGTTCTACATACAACATACTATAGCAAAATACTATAGTGAGATGCTCTCCCTGGTCAGAAGCAATTCGTTAACACTTATACAAGATGAGAGGGAAGGACTGAAAAATAAAATACTTACTTGTTCCTAGACCAATTGAAAAAGCAGCAACATAAACAAGCAAGCTGGCTAAGGATAGCCATTTCAAAAAAGGTGGGACTTCCGCAGGGTCTGTGACGATCTGGTATTCAGTCTGGCTTAGTCCAGCATTTAGTGAGAACGCTGAGGTCATCTCCCCTCTCTTACCCATGTCGTTTCTTGGGGGCATTACTGAGCTTTTGCTGTGGGAAGTGATCTTCTTAAAGGGCTCTCTAAGAGTGTCACTGCTGGCCGACAAGTTGCTTGGGCCATAAAACATAGACTCATCCAAGGAATGGTTGATAAGACTATGGCTTCTGCAGATGTTGGTGAAGTTCATGTGGATGTTGAGATTCACAATGCCCATGGTCACCAATGAGGCTGCCATCACGGAAGTGCCCACACAGAGGAAGGTTTTACCTCCAAAGTGATCCACCAGCAGCGTGGCGGGGATGGTGCTGATGACCTTGACAGCCCCAATCCCCGTGGAGGCGAGGCTAGCTGCCTCATTGCTTTGGAAGCCAACAGAGTTCAAAACAGTTGATGCATAGAATAATATGTTCGGCTGGCCAGTGATTTGTACAAAAAATACCAGTGTTAGGCCTATCATTATTCGGGTCCTCATATTGTCCTTCGAACGAAATAGATCCCAAAAGCTATACTGATATTCATCTTTCAGGGAAGATTTTATCAGAGTGAGTTCCTCCGTTGTATCTAAGATGGCTCTCAACCTTCCCAGAACCTTGCCAGCAGCTTCCTCCTGTCCTTTCATCACCAGAAACCGGGGACTTGGAGGGAGAAAGTACATCCCTATTGCTTGCAAAACTCCCAAGGGAATAACAAGGCCAAACATGTACTTCCAGCCATGGGAAACGCTGGCAAATGCATAATTTGAAATGTAGGCAAAAAGAATGCCACTGACAATCATCAACTCGTTCAGTGACACAAGAAGACCCCTTCTGTGTTGCGGGGCAATCTCGGCGATGTAAACACAAGTGGCGGTTGCCGAGAGGGAAATGGAAACCCCTATAGCAATGCGTCCCACTATGAGAACCGTGTAAGATAAACTGAATATCAAGACTAGGCTTCCAAGTCCAAGCAGACAGGATGACAAGATGATGGCAGCCCTCCTTCCATACCTATCAATTAAAACCCCTCCGATGAGAGAGGCAAGTAAGGCCCCAATGAGGAGGGAGCTCACCACCATTTCCTGCTCATGGCAGGTCAGAGCTAATAAGGTTCTTATTTGAAGAAGAGCCCCGGAGATGATCCCAAGTTCATAGCCCACCAGGAGGCCACTGACAGCAGCGGTGACAGATGACAGGAGAGTAAACATGCCGCAACCTATAAGCAGAGAGGAGAGACAGAGGGGTCAGTTCTGAACTGTTATTTTAAACATTTCATGTCTGAACAGAGGCTTAGCCTTGTATAAGTTTTTCATGGCACTGAGTATAAACACACACAGAAGTATAGTAGAATAATAGGCTAAACCCCTCCCCCCAAAAAATGGTTACCTATAAAAGAAAAAAGTCCGTTTTCTTTCATTTTTGGGAGAAGGGTGGAGACATGAGGAAGTCATTTCCTTCTCTTTGTAATGTTGGTGTTGTTTCATGTTTTCAGCCAACAGTTATGTAAGATGAGCAGATGAAAGATGATGAAACTGAACAAACAAGAACACTGTTTAGCTCCCGCTTTGGCGTTGGACCAGTAATTCGGATAGCCTGGCTCCTCTGGCCCCAGCTGGTTTTCTAAAGGCGAATGGCACAGGATTGAGAGGGTAGGAGGCTCAAGAAGCCTTACCAGCTTCCCACTGTGTACCTCCAGGGAAAAGGAAGCACAGCCCCCAGGACACCTTCCTTCTTGTCTCCTTGGCCACAACTGGGCCACTTTTGGCTTTTGCTGAAGCTCATGAGATCATTTGGGAGGGGGTAGGTAGCAGAAGGGTGAGTGCCTTAACAGAACCAAGGCTGAAGGGCGAGACGGAGGTAGGGGAGAGGACAGGCAATATCCATCACTGTCTCCGAGTAAGGAAGAGGGGATGGAACATGGGGAAAGAAGCTCAAAGGAGACTTCTATTTTAATATTATAATGTTAAAACCTGAATAAAATGACAAAATGTTATTAATTTTTGCTGTTAGGTACACAGGTGTCTGTTATGTTCGTAACTTGTCAAAACAGAGACAAAACAAAGCAAAAGGTAGTTGAGGGAAGAACATTGCAGGCACAGGAAACAGCCGTTTCCAAAGCCTGAGGTCATGTTTCAAACCTGTCAGGCAGCCAGGACCTCATGTGCAGGGCACGACATGGGCTTGGGGAGGTGGGTAGGAGAGGGTAACAGTGAATGTGCAGAAGTACGGAGGCGACCCTTTGTGTGGGCCTGGCAGGTCACAGTGACAACTTTTTATTGTATTCCAAGTATAACAGGGTCAAGGCCCACCAACAGGGGACATGACACTCTGAGTGTCTTGCAGCTGCGTGCAGATGAGTTCTTCAAGGGCAAAGACGGAAAGCAGAGAGTAACATGTAGCCTTAGTCTCGACAAGAGATGATGCTATCTTAGACTTGGGTGTGGGGTGCAACCGAAGGCAAGCAGTTCAAGAGTTAATTTGAAGGTAAAAAGAATGACTACACTTGCTTATGAACTGAAGTTGGAGGATATGGAAGTGGGTCAGAACCCGCGATTCTTCTGCATGGTTTGAGTGCTTGGTTGGGTGATGTACTGGGAGATTGGGAAGAGGACTGGCTGTGAAGGGGGGAGAGAGCAGCAGTGGAAATCAGCATTTCCATTTTAGACTTACAAAAACGTTCTGCTTGTTTTACCCAAGTAAGGGATTGAGTATACAGCCTGATGGCTTAAGAGTAGGTCAAAGCTGGAGACAGGTATCTGGGATTCAGGAGCACGCATTTGGTATTTAAAACCCTGAGAATGCATGGGATCACTTAGACAGAAGACAGAAAAAGGAGAAGTAGGACTAGAACTTCGACCTAGGGTACCCCAACATTTACAATAGGAGGTAACAGTAAAGGAGATGGAGAAGCAGAAATGAGATGTATGTAAAAGAATTAGAAACATGTGCCTGGACACAATGAGCACAGGCTGAGCTAAGACTATCTAACCCTGCTGAAGCAGGAGGTAGGGAGTGCAGTTAAAACTGCTGTTTAGCTCTAGTGAAAGAAGAAGGTCAAATAAAGGTGATCAAAATCTCTTCCCACCACAAGTACCCAAGGTACTTTGTAGCTTCAGGATCCCAATGGGATATAGAAAAGTGGGAGACTCCAAAAAATAAATTTAAAAGTATTAAATATTTAGATGGAGGAGCAAATAAGAATGCAATAATCTGTAATAAAATAAAATAAAAGTAATTTATGAGCAATCCAAACACAAACCACTGAATTGAGATTAACTCAGCAATTAATCCATGAAAACAAATAAATATTTGGGACATTACATGGCAGGTATTTTCCTGGGTACCTGGGGGTGCATATCTAGCAATGAAAAAAAACAGATGTGGTCCTTGCCCCCTGAGAAGCTTAATATCCTAGTGAGTCTCCCTGATCTATTATATATTGTTTTAATTTTTACATGAATAATGACTTTATAATACTCTTCTCCAAATTCACTTACATCCTCAATTTCTGCATATTCTTTTTTCTATGTGATCTTAAATCCTCAACAAATCCCTCACCCACAAGGAGAATTGGGTCAAATTCTTACATTTGGGTAAGAATATTATTATATTGCTTCATATCTTTACTTGTCATTCATCATTTTATTTATGTGCAATGTGTCAATTAGCATATGCGTTGTAGCTATTGGTTTCCGATATTCAGATTGGAGAAATAAGTGACTTGGAGAATGAAACATTAGGTAGGCAGATGGAATGAGGCACCCCAGAAGGGGACTTAGAGTGACAGAGGACAGCATGGGGACACTGAGTCGAGGACGTGGGGGAATAGGTGCCAGAACTGCTTGCATAGCAAGAGGTTGTTCTTGCCACCCTAACCACCCCCTTCCCTTTCCTAGTTCTCACCTTTTGTTAGAGGGGAATGAATGCTTCCCTACAAAGGGAAAGAACCCTTAAAATCCCAGAGGCCCTTCCTTTGATGCTGTATTCACCTACTTTAGAGAGAGTGTGACTAGCGGGTTAGGAAGGAGTTGGGGTAAGGGATGAGGCAAGCCAGCTTCTTGTAGTATAGAAGGAACACCTTCCAGGAGAAGATGGATCCAGCTCTTCCTTGTGCTTTCTGGACTTCACTTCATATGCCTCATTCTTTTAGCCAGGCTCCGTAGGGCGTTGACAAACTGGGATGTGTGCAAAGGGTCTGGAAACCATCCCCTTTGTTAATGTCTCCCCTGAGACCACAGCTAACGCTAAGTGTACTTCTTCAGAGATATAATAAGTAATTTCTATAAGAACGGGTTAACAAAATTTTTACAAAATTAAAATTTAAAAAAAAAATCACATTACCTATCTATCTAATCTATCTAGGGAACTTATCTTTAAAAGCTTAAAAAGTTATCCGGGGACCTCCTCTGACCCTATTGTCATGCGGTGGGGGAGGCATGCCAATGCGGGTTTTATGCTTCAGAATTAAGCTGAGGCCATCACTGCCTGAATTCCATGTGAGGGCTGTATGTGTTAAGGACTGCTGCCCCAAACTAGCTTCCCCACTCATCTCACGGCTGCTGTTTGGAACTGCTGAATTTCTATTCCTGTCCTCAAGCTACTTGCTTGCAAGTTTGAATTCCAATTCGGCATGGAAACCGAGTACCTAAAGCTCCCCAGACCGCAGCCCCGTGACGCTGCAGGAATTGGCAGTGATTCAGCATGAGCCACCCCAAGATGCGTCTCAGTGGGATGCGGATTACTCTGAGCTAAAGGCAACCAAGATCCAGCAGGCTCAGGAGAAACCGCGCCTCCCCTTAACTGCCTAGAAGAATTTAAGTTAGGAGTTTGCCCCATGATAAGGAGTATTACCAGAAATAACTTTTTACCTACCCGTACGGGAGAGCAAACTATTAATGACTGAACATGCTCTCTCCCTGCAATTGCCTTCTGATGCCCAGAGTGCCCTCCCTCATCCTTATCTCAGAATGTCATATGTACCTCAATTTCCCTTTCTAGCTCTGAATCTTTCGTACAGGTTGAATCTCTGATTATTCATGTATCTGGGGTTCCCATATATATGTATGTAATTCAATTTGATTATTTTCTCTGTCTCATGTCTGTTTGATTATTAGACCAGCCAAAAGAACCTAGAAAGAAGAGGAACATTTTTTCCTCTACCCTCAACTTCCATCACAGGTAATTTTCCTGGTGCTATTTTACCACATAAAAACAATGAAGAGAGACATAAAGAGTGGGCTTTTTCCTGCCTACTTTTTGGTTGATGATGATAGAAGCAAGATGTTATCCTATGGGTGCCAGAAAGTAAAGAGAACTTTTCCAAGAAATCTGTTAGGGAACAGGAGGAAAGACAAAGAATGTGGCAGGAGAGTGGGGTTTATATTTGTCTAAATACGATGGGAGAGTTTGGGGCAGCTGGGTGGACTGAGGAAAAGTAGCCAATGCTAGAGGAGAGAACAAGGTGAGGAATCATAATTAGTGTCTTTTCAGAAAAAAAACAAAACACTCAGCCCTGAAGTCAAACAGTCCGCACTCAACGTTGCTGATGAAGTTCAGCTTTTTCAGTCATTTTGCTCACAACCTTGCTTTACAAGGGTCTTTCCTTGACATCCCCACGTTTTCCAAATGCGCCATGAGAAATGCTCTGCCTTTAGTGGACATTGCAGGAGTGGCAAATGTCTGGAGACTAACAGCGGGTCCCCACAGGCTGTTGGGTCATGCCTGCAGCCTATGTTGTTGCTTTGCTAGAAGACCAGCAGTCTGATGATGCAATGAAGATTCTTCATAAGGTAATAAAGTAAAACTGTTCCTAGCAAAGATGGGAGGCTTGCACAGCCAGGAGGCTTTCTGCAAACCAGAGCCCTGAGACCCTCAGTGAGGCCGCAAAGGATAGGCAGCCCCCACAGGCCAGGAGACCGCAGCCGCTGCGACAACAATAGCGCCATTGTCTGCCCTGCTCACGGTGCCTCAGATGAAACCGCGACTAACTGGCATGCACTGAAACACTCAATTTTTCCACAATATTTGCGTTTCTGCCTGCTTGCTTTTCTTTCCTTTCTTCCCATGTGCCTGTTACAGTGTATGTTCATAATGCACACACAATAAATACTTACCCTCTGACTGAATCTTACAACAGAATGAAAAGTATGCACACCAGCGTTCTTTGGGGTTTTTTTTTGGCAGGCAGCCAGGTAATTATACAGCTTGACCAACTGT